TTTTTAGTTCTTTCTATATGTTTTCTGATATACATTTTGTAGGACAATCTTTTATTAATTATTTAGTGCATAGCAGGTGTTTGTTTCATGAATATGATTTTAGTATGTATTTGTTTATGTTTTATATACCCAAATCTAATCACAATAATGTTGGACTTTGTAGAGAATTTTTATTAGAAAGTACATATTTTTTGATTCATTAATGGAAATAAATTATTAGTAAGAATAGTCACTTCTATTTATCTATCACATCATAGGAAAATATGATGCAATGCAACTGAGAAAAGTGTATCGACTATAGAGAACATTTCCATCAAGTACTATTGTTTTTATAATATTATTTTTATTTTTAGATAAAATAGATACTTGTTGTCCATCCCTTAAAGAAAATTTTCTCGATCGGCCATTATTGGTACTGTATGAGTGTATGTTGCGCCACCTATAATATATATAAGGGTATCCCGACAGCACAATGAATATCAAAAGAATATATTTTGCAGCACATTGATGTCACATGTTTTGATGCAGCAAGTCGAAGAAAAAACTTCCCAATGGATACAATCCGCTCATGGTAAGACTTCATACGGGTTCAATGTACTCTTATCTTCAACAACAGGACCGGTATTTAAGTTTTAGGATTTATAAGTGGGTAAAGCCCAATGGTACATGGGTGTGTCTTCTTTGTGCATGTAATGTGTTCACATAGTTAAATATAAAAAAAAAGGACCTTTAAAATGAGACACTAAAATAACTCATTATCTAAATACATAAATGATCCTACTCCACTTTTCTTCTAAGCCTTAATTCCACTGCTCCGCCCAAAGGCCCATCCACACCCGGCCTGCTCGGGCCTACCACCCCCTGGCCACTGCCGCCACTGCCCGGACCTCTGGCTAGACCCGATTTAGTTACGCACATAGAAGAGATGTGTCTGATAGCATCGTCAATGGAAAAAAAAAAAAAAAATCACGCATCACATTGAAAATATGAAAAACTCGTGGAGAGCAATTGTAAAAGTACACATCCAAATGTCTTTTTTTTAATTGTAAAACTAATTGTCTAGATTATTTCTCTGTCTTTTGATACACATATATTATGTTAGGACAATCTTCTATCAATTACTTTGTATATACTAAGCGTTTGTTTGATGCATGTGTGTGTATATATATATACACCATAATGTTTTGGAATCTAATCATAATGTTGGATTTTGTAGAGAATTTTTATAGCAAGCATATATAGCTTGATTTTCAGGAAGTAAATTATTAGTAAAAATAATTACTTTTATTTATCTATCACAGCACGTGCAAATATAATGCAATAAAACTAATAAAAGTATACCGACTACCAAGAACATTTCCATCGAGTACTAAAAATAGATACTTGTTGTCCAACACCCCCCACCCCCCACCCACCAACCAAAAAAAAAGTAAAAAAAGAAAATTTTAACGATCCGCCATTGCTATACTCTCTGAGTGAATGTATGTTACATGATCTAATATATATAAGGGTCTCTCTGACAACACGTTGAATATCAATAAAATATACTTTGCAACACATTGATGTCACATGTAGGGCTGAGCATGGTTCGGTCCAAACCGAAAAAACCGACCGAACCGACCCGAACCGATCCGAAAAAATCGGTTTTATGAGTATGGCGGTTCGGGTCGGTTTGAAAACTTTTCAACCCGAACCGACCCGAACCGACCGAATATAGTGCAATACTACCCATTCTGATCTCAAACCCTACCTGACCCATCCCTAAAGAGTCAAAGACTCAAACTCTAAACTCATTTTCTGGATCATTATGGGTTGAAAATAATATCATTATATCAGTGTTTAATGCTTCATAATCTCCTACTTTGTTGATATTTTTTTTCTTTAACACAGTTTGTTGTTTGATAAGAAGTTTGATGAAGTTAGAACCGAACCGCATCGAACCGACTTGCAACAGTTCGGTTCGGTTTTAGGCGGTTCGGTTCGGTTGTTCAAATTTTGATAAAAACCGAACCGAACCGACCGTTGCACACCCCTAGTCACATGATACCAATGGGATGGATATGGGCATCAAAGAGAATTCTACTTGTGTATTAGGAAAGAGTTAAGCAGCATTAGTAAGCGAGTAAAGCCCAGCGGTACATGGGTGTGCCTTCACTGTACATGTAATGCGTGGACATTGTTAAAAAAATAACACTACAGGCACACTCTCCACCACACCCCCTCTCCTGCTACAGTGCAGGGGGGCCCACCTGAGATTTTTTAAAAAATCTCAGGTGGGCCCCCCTGCACTGTAGCAGGAGAGGGGGTGTGGTGGAGAGTGTGGTGGAGAGTGTGCCTGTAGTGCCACTCTTGTTAAAATGTCAACACTAGATAGACGATCCTACTCCACCATGCTTAGTATCAAAAACAAGACCCAAGGCTACATATGTCACCAGAGAATAACCAGATGTTGATAACAAAACTCGACTTCAAGTAAAGAAACGTACAGCGAACAACAAAATGCAGCGTTAACTTGATAATTACATATTTGACTCAACCAAAAACCTTCCCAAATCCAATAAACAACAGGAGTTCGCCAAATCAGCGCAAATGATGAAAGAGTCTCATCCATTCATCCAAACCTCTTGAAATTCCAAAAAAAAAAAAAAAGAACTATAAATAAATCGATCTAATTAACGGTAACTTTTCCCACCATTCCGGCTCCCTGGTGAGGGGAGCAGTAGAAGCTGTAGGTCCCCTTCTCCTTCAGCGTCACCTTGTAAGTCTCCCCGGGGGCATTCAACAGGTCCTCCTCGCTCATTGAGATCCCCGCCGCGTCGACCCCCGACGGGATCTCG